ATGAACTTTAGACGATGAATCATTTCTAAATCAGGTAGTATTGTTAGGCGACGGTTGATTTGTGTTGGCAGCTTAAGAAGAGAACACATTCTCGATGCTATGAACATATATACCTATGCGCATTTATGTATATACATACTTAATGGTCATTAATATTATTATTGCTATTATCGTTGTCATTGCCGTTGGTCCTGTCACCCAAATTTTATCATTTTCCAACTAACTATCCTATATCGCTCGTCCTCAGCTCCTCTCGTGCAATATGTACATCAAGAACCAACTTGCTCAATAATTCACAGTATCATCTGTCCCCACTTAGAGTCCTCGCGTCTATTGAATACTTTTTTTCTACCCTTCTCGAGCAATAAGGGCACTTCTTCCGTCCACTGGTACCTGTCACAAACGCGTCCACCAGTTTTTTGAGACACGCACACGATGCCACCGCCAGATGGATACTTGGGTACAAGCCTGTGCGCTTCCAACTGTTGTCTGGAGAGGCATCTTTCACTGAATGCCATCCAGTCTTGTTAGAACGAGATCATCTACATGGCCTGATGCTTCCAACTTTACAATTACTACAGGTTGCTCTAATCGTAGGAAGATCAGGTTTATTGAGTTCATGAGCAGGCTAGTTTGGATAACGCTCAAATAAAATTGGATAAAGAGATTACTCATTCAAATTGCATCCAGAATATTCGCATTACTTTATACCAATTTAAAGTAATGAAATTGGCTTGACCCCGTATGATAATTTCCTGTGTCGGTCCGTGGACTTGATACATTTCCAGACGTTTCCCCGGCATCGTAACAGACAGTTTGTGTTGGTTCAACCTTGTTTTCGCAACTTGGTCGGAGCGTCATGGAGACCTTATGAAACGTATCTAGTTCTGTGTCCTCTGCCATAGTATTGGTGATTTCCAGCATTGGATCTGAAGGCCACACCATCTTGGTCTTTATATCTACCATTATCAGTTAATCTTGCCAGTCTTAGCAACAAATTACCTCTAGTCAGAGACAAGTGAAGCCTGGTCCCCTGACCAAAGAAGATTCAAGTCTTCTTGACTTAATA